TGATACTGTGTCTGCTCAAGGGAACATTCTTCCCCGTCCGTCGCGTCTATCGCGTCTACCACGTCTGCCGTTTGGTATTCTCTCCTTCCGTTGCCATCATGCACTCTACGAATGAAGTTTCCCTTTTCGTTTTTGCTAAAAATATTGTTATCATGCAAAAGGTTGAGCGCATTCATGTTGACATTCGTTGCCCCTTCATTTTGGATCCAATTTATTTGTTCATACCTTTTGTGGAGGTCGTGTAGCCCCTCTTCAGTGGGCACCCCTCCATTAAGCTTAACCTCAAGTCCAAACCCCTCGTGTGTGTCGTGCATTAGGTTTAAAGAGAATCCGTCGGAATATCTCTTTCTCCATTTTGTTTCAAAATTGTCATTTTTGCCATTTTGGTCATTTTTGCTATTTTCATCATTTTCGACATTGTTACTTCTGGATAGAACAACTCTCCTTTTGTTAAAATGGTTGAGGTGAAAATTTTCGATTAGCCTACTTTTATAGCTCCTCTTTTTCAAATTTGTGTAGTTCTTGTTCATCTCAGCAATGGGGTTGCTACCCATCAAGATGCTGAAGGTGTTTCTCCTTCTTCCGTCCAGAAGGTGACTCGCTGCGCCATTTCGTGGAAGGACCCTCTTAGGTTGGTCATATTTGTACAGCGGTAAAAGGGCATTTAATCCTGAATCGTTATTCTTCATGTGCCTGTCTGCACAAGTCAAATTGAACCCTCCATTGAAATGACCCTCAAGTGTATCATTTATCTGGTTCGAATAAAATGGGACCATGGGGTGGTTACTCAAATAAGGGTGGCCACCAATCGACAATGTTGAATTGTTCACCACATTTGTAAGGTAAAAAAAGTTGTTGTAAATTTTGGATATAAACAGATTTTCTGAATAGATAAATTTTTTCAAAGATTTTATTTTTCTTTCACTTTCTTTCCTTTTGTTAAAATTGAAATATAACTTCTTAAGCAAATGCTTCACCACTTTTTGTAAAATGAATTCTTCCTTCTTCGTGACAATGTCCCTTTTTAGCTTCTTTAACGTTTCATTCGATTCTTTCAACTTGTTTTCGTAATATACTACTTCTTCGTCCATTTTTTCATCGCGTAATGAAATGGACGGATTTTCTCCCTCGTCTTTGTCCTCCACAGGGAAGAAATTTTCTTTAACAAGTATGCCTTCCTTACTCTGGCATCGATCATCGCGTAGGTTTTTTCCGTCCTGTTCCATTTCAAGATTGGTCACTCTGTTCCGAAGTGGTTGCTCTATCATGGGCTGTCCGAAACTACTATCTCGATCTTTACCTGTATTAACAGTGCAACTCATCTGGGCGGATCTTTCTTCTGTGCCTACGGCTGGGCTTCTCCGTGGGAAGCGATCCTCCCCATTATTCCCTTCCTCATCTTCATTTTTCTTCTTTACATACAGGGCCTGCAGAATTTTCCTAACCTGTCTGTTCATACTTTTTTCCTTGTCCAACTTTGCCTTAATGGAACTCAGTTTCTTTTTCTTTTTCAAAAACTCCCTCAAGTAGCTTTTAATTTTCACATCATTTTTGAAGTTTCTCTGAAATTCGTACTCACTCTTATTGAACTTATAAAAGGAGTGGGAAGAGATAAGGCTGTTTTCTGGGTTACACACGGAGGGACTCGAATTTAGGTAGGCCGATTTTACCCCATCGGAGAGGATGGTACTCAGAGGCGACGCGTTAAGGTCGTCATTCAGGAGAGAAGTGGAATCCTCCAAGTCCTGATCACCACCACCGCTGTTACCACCATCGGGGTCATCATAAGGGTGCACCTCGCCATCATGTAACAAACTGGAGATTCGCATCCCATCCGACGTGACCTTGTTAACCCGTGAGGAGACACCGTGAAATTCGTTGCCATGGATGATACCCTCAGGTGGCTGAGTATTTTGGCCGTTTTTTCTGTCACCCCGTCTGTCATTGCTACTTGGCCCCTTCTTTTTTAACTTTTTTAATTCCTCATTTAGTTCTTGATTCCTTTTGAGCAATTTTGAATATGCCTGCTTACTTATTTCTTCCTTTTTTTTAAGTTTATTGATGTAATGTTCTTCTCGTTCATGCAACTTCGTAATTATGTTTTCTTTTTTGCGAATAATGTTACTATGCTTCCTCTGTTCTTCCTTCAACAGAGTACTGGTTTTTAAAAAATTATTTTTCATTTTCAAAATGTCTACCTTTAAGTGTTTAATTTGTTGCTCATTGTCGTTTAATTTTTTTTGAATCTTCTCCTTTTCCTTTGTTATTCTTTGTATTTCTCCCTTCATGTTTTCTATCTTCTTGCAATTCTTGTTATTCTGACTGTTGACCTGTAAATACTGTAACTTCTTTTTCAGACTCATTATACTGTTCGTGAGGAGTTCATTTTTCGCGTTGTATTCTTCCTTCTCTTTGTTCACTCTTTTAATTTTGCATATGTCTTCCTTGATAATTTTTTGCAGCTTGTTTAGTTTGTTTTTTAGAAATTTTGGCGACACATTGCCACTGCTGCGCCCACTTTCGTCATCACTGGCATAGCTACTGTTAGCGCTGCTGGAGCGGCTGCTCTCCCATGTGTCCTCCTCGTCGTCGTTCATCTCCTCATCGATGTTGTGGCATTTTGGTTTGTTCTCTCCCCCTGTGTAATTCACAAAATGGAGCCTATCCATTCTTATACTTCCTGGGAAATGGTTATACGGGTGTGAAATTTCGACTCCTCCCTCTGTTACTTCCGTTTGGACTTTTTTTTTTTTGGGTTTATTTGGCACACCTCGGGGGGTTATTTTTTCCCCCTTCATGGGCCCATCCCTTCTGCCGTTACTTCCCATAGGGAACTCACGAGATTCAGCAGTGTCCTCAAATAGACCCAAATCAACGTTGTTACTTGAGTATATAAAATTTGAGGAAGCACTGTCATTATTCTCAGAAAGTAGCATTCTTCTTCTTAATTTTTTGTTCATTCCTTTTTTGTGTTTTCCTGCGCATACCAAGAAGGTGTTCAACTTTGCGTTGTCAAAAAGGTTGTTCTCCTTTTTGTGATAATTCAAATTTTGATGAAGCAGATCCATTAGCCGTGTCTGTTCATGACACCCTCTTATCCCATAAGCATAAAATTGGTTACTTCCCTTTGCAGTGACTTCTGTATCCGTGAAGTTCTTTTTTCTTGCAAAATGTCTTAACATTTTGCTTTTCATTTTCCTCTCGAATTCTACATCGCTAAAGTAGTCGTGGTGAGGTTTATAGAAACTCTCATCGTTCGGCGGAGTGTGGAGCAGATTCTTCATTCCACCTGGATGGTATTGTCGTCTGAGGGGCCCCGTCTTTGCATTCCCTCCGACATCCTGACCACTTCTTCCACGTCTACCATGTCTAGCACTTCTTCCACGGCTACCATTTTTACCACCCTTTGGCGTTTTTTTATTTTTTTTCTTCTTCCCGTCGTACCTGCTCTCCGAGCTGAGTCTTGCACACCTTTTCATCTTCTTCACCGTTTTCTTCAGTTCGTCAACTTTCTTTTCGTACGCCTTATTTTTTTCAAAAATTGAATTGTACTTTTTGTTTAGATCTCTCAGCTTCTTCTCATTATATCGGTTAAGCTCAAACTGCCTGTACATGTTTTCTACGCACCTTTTATCTTCTTCTAAATTCACGAACAGGTATTTCTGCTCTAGCGTGTTGAAATCGGAGTCGCAAGCATCTTCCTTGTCTTCGACCATGTTTTTTTTCTGGCACGTGGTACATAGGAGGTGGTTTCCATTGAGGGGGTCCCCGCTTGGTGAATCTTTCTTTGGAGGTTCCATCACATTTGGTGAGAGTTCCCCGGAGGGAACTTTTGGCATACTGGTCAGAACGTCCCCCTCATTGGCGTTTTCTTCCCACGACATCACACTTTCTTGAAAATTGCTGCGGTTATCATGCGCTTCCCTGTTCATGTGTACCGTCTGGTCATCCCTCTTTTGCGGTGAGGCCCTCTCAACGCAGTGGCAGGTTTCACCCGTGTCCATTTCGTACGAACCGCTACTTACTACTATGTTCATGTCGTGTTCCTTTTTGCTGTTCTTCTTGACTATCTGCTCGTTGTTATTCTGTTTCAAGCCGCAGGAATGACATGATTTTGCATCTCCCATGGGGGATGCTTTCATTGTGAAGGTGGCCATGACACTTGAGCAATGGCCATCATGGATTAACATAGCTGGTTCGGACAATTTGCTGTTCACATTTGCAGCGGTTTCTTTATCCAGGTTATCCCTTTTTTGAAAAAAGGAATCCACACTCATGGTGAAATGGGGCCTGGTTGGAGCACCACTACTGGGAGGGACGTCTGGAAGGACAGTCCCCTTTTTTAAAATTGAGGCAGAAGAGATGTGGTTAGCGTTAGCTTCATCTCTATCGCCATTATGCACGATGGTATTGGCATTTCCTTCACCCAATTGTCCATTCGTGGAAGGAAACTCTCCACCTTTGCATGTTTCCCCCTCCTGGGTGATGCACCCATTTTGATTGAGCAGACTTACAGAGCAACTTCTAACACTTCCGACCACGTTAAAGCGAAGTGAACCATCCGTGGGTGCATAGTTTTGCCTCTTCAACAAGCTCATATAGTAAAATATCAAACAAATCAACTTCTTCCTCTTCACTTTTAAGCCTTTGACTTTTTGCAGTAATAGTTTATTTTGGCTAGTTAATTCCTTAACCCTAGTAAAATCCACCTCAGAAGACTTATCTTTGCATTCAATTTTGTATTTTTTCAACTCTAGATTTAGGTTGAACAGCTGCTTCCTCAAATCGTTAATAACTACGCTGTTAATGTCATAGTTTATGACTGGGGTGTTTTTAATCTTCTTAGTCCTTGCGGCATATTTGATGGTGCTTAATGATTCGTAATAGTCTACAGGGTCAATACTGATGCATGCAATCATAACTGTTTTGCTGTTTCCTCCAAGGGAATCTTGAAGTATTCTGGTAAGCTTGGAATTCCTGTAGGGAATGTGTTGACTTTTTTTATTACTAGACAGGCTATAAATAACGTTGCTTAGGGATAGCAATCCGTAGTTAATGCTGATTGCTTCTTTTAACCTGTGTCCCTTCGTTTCGGTCCTTTTGGCTCTTTCACTTCCAGCCAAATCGACAAAATGAAATTTCGAGCATATTACATCTGACTTGTTTGTTTCTTCCAGCCCAGTGGCGTCATTATTACTCTCGTTTGCAAAATTAGGGTCTTTCTTCCCTTCGTCAGCATTGGTTCGTGCCTCCTCCTTGCTGGTAGCTCCCTTTTCCTCTACATCATCACCGTTTAAGCTGCGTCTTTTTTGTTCTTCTCCCAATTCATTAACTGTGCACTGTTCACTCCTGCAGTTTGGATTTACCTCTTGGGTGCTCCCTTTGTTTTTCTCATTTTCTCCCGCTTGCTTCTTCCTCTGAATCAGGTTAACGGTGAAGATTGCGTGAGACCTGCTGGATTTATCATTCATGAAGGTTCTCTCGGTGGTCCTAAATAAATTCCCCTGGTGCAGGATGGTGAACACATCTTGAACATTTTGTACTTTTTCATTTTTAATTCCCATTAGGATTATTTCCTTCTTGTTGATATCTTCCCTTATGGATATATTTTTATTAATTTTTTTTATTTTTTTCTTTTTTTTTCCATTTTTACAGTTGATTTTCTCATGATAATCTTCTTCCTTAAAATCTATCAAATCGATAATTTCTTCATTGTAAATTTCGATATACGTACATGACACATCAAAATCGATTTTCTTTTTTTTCCTCTCAATTATGTTAAACATATCGTTTAAAAATCGAGGCAAAATACCAACACTTTGGGAAAATTCGTTCATGTAATCAAATCCCATGGTGAATGTTTTTCCTGACCCCGTCTGTCCATAGGCAAAAATGGTACAGTTATAACCTTCAAACAAATTATTTAAAAAGTTATCCGACAGGTATGTGTAAACTTCTATCTGCTTCGTTTCTTCAGAAAATATTTTGTCAAATGAAAAATTCTGGTTATGTACGTAGAGGCAATTCTTCTCATATTTAATATTTTTCGCATCCTCGTAATTTCTCCCTCTCCCGGTGGTGTCATTTTCGTTCGGCTTGCTCATTTTGTCCAATATGTTCGTTATAATTCTTGGCTTTATCCTTACAATCACTTGACAGTTCTGTCGTTCACTACCTCTGTTGTTGTTACAATTGTGCCCATTATCGTATCCATTCAATGGGTCGATCTCTTCCCTTTCCTCCTCGTCATAGGAGCTCAAATTGTTGCTCTCCACCGATTCACCAAAGGCATCTTCGCATGAGAAAACGTCCTCCCTTTCGTATGCATATTTGTACTTGTTCATTTCTGTGACGTTTTCCTGATCAAATTTTAGGCAATTATTCGGATTATTTATTCTGTTCAAAATTAGTTTATTAGTTTTGCTTTCTCCGTTTCGTTCTTTCTCTAAATCATCGTCGTGTCCTTCCTTCGGTGTCAGAAAAATGTCTCCATTTGGGTTGATTCCCATTGGGTTGCCAACGCAATTATTTGAGTTTATCTCTGGATGTGATTTTATCCGTGTGTGTGTGTCTCCTTCCACCTCTGAGTTATTTCCTCCTGAGCACTTGGTCTGGGCATTTTTCTCAACTGCAGTTTTGACCAATGCTACAGCGAGATCGTCCATCTTAGTGTAGTGCAAAGGCTCGCCTGAGCTTCTTTGTCTCCACAGTTGCCCTTGCCCTGACTGAATACGAAACTGTATTCGCACTCTTGTATGTGCGTATGTGTGTATGCTCACAGTTGGACTTATATCTTCGCATAGCCATCACATGACTATATGTGCATGTGTGCCAAAAGGGAGGATGAGGGAATTATTCATTTCCTCCAAACTGCACACGGGTTGTCACACCATACTGTGCTTTTGACTGAGCCACTGGGTGTATTCGTAGCGGTTAAAATGTGGACTATCGATTGGGTGCCTTCAAATATACGAAATGGAATGGTTTCTTACCATCCCAGATGCTACACCGATGCTGCGCCGATGCTAGGCTATATGCTCGTGTTTTTTTGTTTTTTTTTCACACTTTTTGGATGGCCTTCTTCTAATTAATTCTTCTGTGCCTCTACTTCAGTTAGCTTACAAAAACTCGCACATGTGGATCACACAATGTGCGCGGGGGAAGCACTCACGTGGAGGCCCGGCAAATGGGAAGGAAAAAATCTAGATCAAGGCCAAAGGTTTGACGCATAAATAGGTTTTCAAATAAACAGAATAAGCAGTCGACAAATCCGATAATGAATGTTTTCCAATGCAAATTTCTTCTTAACAATTTACACTTTTTTTAAGGTGCTCACGTGTAATAACACCTAGATGGGTTGGATATTAAAATGGAAGTGGCGTTTTTTTTTTTTTTTTTATATTTTTTTTCTGGGCCCCAGATTGAGCATCCAGATGGGGGACGTAGCAAACGTATGTCTTGCGCTATGTGGACAGTGTGCCCATGACTAACATGAGGAAACTGCTACCTTGCGTGACCTACGCCGGTGATGCACTTAAACAGGGAAATGACGGCGAAACCTGTCGTAAGCAAAAAGTGCACCCGCAAAAGGAAGCAATCTCTTTCACTGATGGGAGTAGAAAGAAATGGCATATTAATTATAACATTATGTTGCAAAAAAGGGGGAGAAATTATTCACGAAAGCGACACGCAAAAATGTGTGTTAGGGGAAATGCAAAGGTGTTCTTGTTTGGAAATTTTATTTGTGAAAGTAGTTGTAGCTACAGTGCTGGGTTCTTCCGCTTTGCTTCAAAAGGCGGAAGGGAAGTCTGGAAAAGTGGAATTAAGTGGAGAAGTCACAAAAAAAAAAAAGAAATGGGGAAAAAATGAGAAGTAAAAATACCACGCAGGAATTTCTGAAAAATCGCACTATCACTTGCACTCATGCTTTTTTTCCATTCCTCATTTTTTCGATTTTCCATATTTTCTTTTTTCTAACATTTTTTCTCACCCCAAGTATCGTTGCGAATAGGTGCTAAAACAATTCAGTTGCACAGAGGGAACAATCCGAACAGGTCGAGGGGGCGCGGAAACAATACCGCAATTTTTCCACGCACCTACAAAGGTGGTGACATACGTCACATGTATAGCAGCTAATTGAATTCACCCCTCCTTTGGTTCAAATAAATGATACGTATATCTCCCCACTAATTTGTTGTTCCGAAAAGTGCCCTAAAAATTTCCCGCTGCTCGTCGGTGGAACATCTACATGGCCGTCATTGTTTTGTTCCAATTCTTAGTATGATAGTTATTGGTTTTATTTCACTCGAACGTTCTCTGAACTGGAGGGAGTAGAAAACTGGCGCTTTTCCACATTGGCCTTTGTTCCCTAATCGGGACTCACCTCGAGTGAAGAGCTGCGCTCTGCGAGCAGCGCATTGGGCTCTCCTTAGTGGTCATTACTTTTTTTTTTTTTTTTACCAATTGGAATAGTATATAACCCCCTTTTACGTTAACTTCGATCGCTTGGAGGACTCAAATTCGTGTATATCAACAAATGCAAAAGGGAAGGTGTGTCCCCAAAGAAGCCGCTGCGCAGAAGGTAAACGTGTGATCTTTGCGTGGCACGACGTCGGACGATCTTGAGAAAATGTTTCTAACGTGAACCCTCGTTTCGGCATATGAAAGACATTTTGATGAAGCTCATCCTGGCGAAAAGTCAACCCGGCAAACGTTCCTACGCGAGGAAGAGCAGCGCGATAGGGAGCGGCGTGATAACTAGCGGCGTGATAAGGAGGAGCACAATAATTGGCGACGCTATTCCCCCCTGCGTGAGTGCCCCCCCGCGCGCTAATACCACGTGCAAACGGATGCACTGCCACGCGGATGCCCCCCCCTTCGGCGAAGACAACTCCAGCTCCATAATAAACTACAAAATGGTGCTAGGCTTGAAAAAAGTAGAAATAAGCAACCTGTCGTCCATGTGCAGGGACTTCCACAATATCTTCCGAATTGACAAGCACCAATTGGTAAAGTACACAGATGATATTCTACCATTTGTGAGATACCTCAGGACAAGTGAGATCGTCATGATTTTACACCACTACGCTTTTATATGCTACCACAATGTGCACTTCTACGACAGTGTGTGGAGCCAAGCGATAAGCAGGCTACATGATATTGACTGTAAGGAGCTGGCGCTTATAATATACAGCATGGGGAAGATAAAGTACACGAATAAAGATATGCTCTCCTTTTTTGACAAGGAAATAAAAAAGTGGGTGAACAAATTTACAGGAAGGGATTGTTCCCTAATATTGAAAGGCTTGAAATGCTTAAATTATAACAGTGAAGAGATTTATTCACTTATTTATAATCGCATTTTAGCCATCTCGGATAATTTGAACATCCTAGATATCTGCATCATTTTGAATACCCACAGTAAAAGTAAGAACGTCAATTTGAATTTGTTTGAAACACTGCTGGACAAATCGCTGACCTTCTATTCAGTCCTAAATGAGCAGTGCATTGGGTCTCTACTATGGAGTGTCAGTCATGCTAACATTAAAGCGGAGAAATATTTTGCCTTGTTGGGTTTGAGGCTGCGCATGCTCATGCACGAGAAGTTCGTAAAGGAAGGAAAACTTCCTCGGAGAGATCCCTTTGAGGAAGATATCCCTCGAGTGGGGCAAAACTGCGGGGAAGATAAACCAGCAAGCAAATCGAAAAAGGAATGCCCCAAAAGGGGGGTCCATCAACCGGATGGCGCACCTGCATCAGACGACATAAATTATGAGGACAGCCAAACCAGCCGAAACGGATGCATAGATGATTTTAATTATGACGTCTTCGAAAATGACAGCGGATCGGATAACGGAAAAGGAAGCAAAAGCGAAAGCGCATCAAGCGATATGTCTGACCATATAGACAATTGGAACTTTCGACTGAGTTCCCACACCTTGTGTAAATATGAAAATGTCCTACCTTCCATTATCTACTCATATGGGAAGCAAAGAACTTATATGAAGCACAATATCTATGTGGACCGAAATTTATATAATCACATTCTTAACAGCTACAGTGCTGAGCATAGCATTAACAGTAGCCCGCAGGAAAGTGTTTACCTGTTTGATATATCGAGAAAAATTTTAAAAGATAAACACATTTTTTCAAATCCGAATGAGGGCCAGAAAAGAAATAAATTAAGAAAATATCATATTAAAAAATATTATCAGGATATAATTTATATAGTAAATAATTACCTGCCTTTTTTTTTGTGCAACATACACTACAATGATTTAAAAAATGTCCTCTTTGGGATTGCCAAAATTGAAATGCCTTTGAATAAAAAATTGCTTAACGATATATTCGAATTAATTGTTCGGTATGTAAAATCGAATTTGTACAAAAATTATGAACTTATCAATTTATCAAGGTCCTTATCTCTGTTGCCTCATGTCAAGGCAGACTTATGGTATTGCATCGTCGATTGTTACAAAAATAATTTCATGGAAAATACCAGTGTGAAGAATAACTGTTACATGTTTTATGTATTCTCCTTCGTTTGGAAAGGTTTGGCTAGCAAAAAATTTCAGGACTGCTTAATTCGTTATATATGTGAGAAAGCTGCTCATCTGTGCAAAGAGGACGTCATACACGTCATTAAAGGGTTGATTAATCTCAATTATTATCATGACGAGTTGGTAAAGAATGTAACTAATTATGTTATAAAGAATTACGAATCTTTTAACCTCATTGACATAGTATACATTCTAAAGTACTTCACGGCCATGCACCTACGGAACGAAACTGTCTTTTCCCTGTTTTCGCACACAATCAAGAAAAACAACACCCGCTGTAATTATGCGCTCATTTCGACCATTGCTTCTTTCTACCTGGAGGTTCGTTCGCCTACCCAACGGGGGGAAGGCCGGAGTAAACAACGCACGTTTGTTCCTGCCCGTGTGGTGGTGTGGCCGCGTGACCGTCTACCCATCTGACCGCTTGACCATCTACATGTGTGGCCTTTTTCCCGCGTCCTCATCTTCCGCCGTCCCCTTTTTAACTGCTCCTATATTGTGGCACCTCCTTCACCCATTTCCGTCGCTTCCCCTCTCAGATGGACATAACTCCCAGAGCAATTGAAGATATCCTACTGCAGGAGAGGATGAGCAGGGAAAAGAATTTCACCACGGAAGAGATTCACTGTGATGAGGAATAAAAAAAAAAGAAAAAAAGGGTGTCACAATTGGGGCATAACCCCGAATGCGGGTTGATGCAGATTTGGCCCTTTGCAACATGTGATTTTCCACCATAACGTACAAAAGACGCGCAAGTGCTGCGCGTGTGCGTACATGGGGGAACACCCTAATTCTTATAAAATTTGTAAAAAGAATTCATATGCGCTTCGGCTGTGTGTCCCCCTTCACTTTGCACGCCTGTGTTTGGTGCACTGTCCTTGAACGGATAGCAAAAAATGTTCTTTAAATATCTCTGATCGAAACCTTTTGGAAATAAATTTTCATTGCCCCATCTTCCGTTGCCCTTGATCACGTCGTGATTTAAGTTTAGACTTTCTCTCGTATATTTTGGCAGCTTAATATTATTTTTTATTTAATTTTTTTTTTTTTTTTTTTTTTTTTGGTTTTTATTTTTTTTTAAATAAGCGATGGCATTCAGTTCACTGTATATGCTGGGGCACCATAATCCCTGCGAGTTGCGCGCAAACAAGAGAGTAAAAGGGGAAAGCATGATTAAAAGCGCGATGGGGTAGTAATCCTCGCGCGGTTGGCAGTTGGTGGCGGACGGACGCCCGTTTCCCTCGCATGTTCGCGGAGTACCTCCACATATGCACGCACAAATAGACACACATATATACAGACACATCTTCGCCACGCATACGGGGATGTTCATATGTTGGCATTAAGTAACCCCCCTCGTAGGGTGGCCTGCATATACCTGGATGCTCCTCTTGTTCGAATACACCCTGGGCCCCCCGTGCTTCAAATAGTCAGAATTCCCCGCACTATCCTTATACAAATTAATCACATCGACAATATGTTTCGATTTGATGTCTTTCAATGATATTTCGTACCTGCTATTATTTATATATTCAAATATGGCCGTTGGCTCTTCATACTGTTCATGTTGTATTTCAAAATTTAAGTGTTTGTTTTCATCCCTATAATCTGGTAAAATGAACCTTAAAAAAAATCGAACATTCCTGCTGCTATGGCCCGTTTCACTGTACTTGAGGAGGATTTTTTTTAATTGGTACACTCCATTGGAACACATATTTTCCCCGACGTGAAGTGAATTTGGATCCTCCGTCCTTCCCGCGTTGGAGGCGGTACAGCAGAAGTAAACAACTTTTCGATCTTCTATTTCCGCCTGTTCTCTCCCCCATGCATCTAAGTCGACGCGCGAACTCTTCCACAAGGAGGCAAATAAAATGGGTCAATGGGGAAGCCTCAATTTTGAAAAATATGTCAAGTGTGGATTCATTTTTCAGTGGATCAAAGTGGAAAAAAAAAAAAAAAACAGAGAAAGCTAATTAAACAAGTAAATAAAACTCCTCTCGTAGCTTCTTCAAAATTTTAAAATTGAAAACTCCCCGTTTGTGCAACTATTACAGCATTTGACACACGATTTTTGCTCATAGCTTAAGGGAAAAGCACTTAAAAAAAGGTAATTTTCACATGTATGGCAAAATTGTGCCTGGTGGAACGGATACGTCGTATGAATGTTTTTTTATGTTAGCCTTTTTTTTTCAAATCTGTTCACTGCATTGCGCTCATGTGGCATAACAAATTGTGTAGGCGCCTTTTTGCCTTTTCACTTACCCCTTAACTTTGTTAATTTGCTTAATATACCTTTTTAATGGACCAGTTTGAGGCGTAACTCGTTTAACACAAAATTGGGGAATTTTCTCACGGCAAAAAATTTCTCCCCCTGTGCTTAGCGTAAACATTTACCAACGAGAAGTGCTGCCCCTGAAGCAGGTGTTAATACATTCCAGAAAAGTGTAAACAAAGGGGCATATCTCCGTGTATGTTAATCCCCTTCATATAATCGTAACACTTTTTTACACAATTCTTTTCATTTACCTCATTTGATGGCGCGGCGTCCGCCAACTTTGTGAAAAATCTTCAGAGAAGTTAGAACCCCTCTCTATTGTGCCCATCCATTTGGATGCGGCTGCTTAATGGGCTCACACTGGTGTATATGCGCCCCTGCGTATACGTGGCCACCGCGGACTTTTTTTTGGGAACAGCACGTTAGCATGTTGAAATTGGCTCATCCAACTTGCTCCCCCCAAATCACCACTTGGTGTTACCAGAATGGAAAAACACAGTACCTTTAAAAACCTCGTAAAACTGCACGGGGACATAAAGAGGGAAGAGCTGCTGGTGCTCTTCTTCCATAGCTGCATTTTGGACAATAATTTTATATACAAACTGAATGACGAAAAGAAATATGAAAAATCAGAGAATCATGAAAAAATAAAAATTTCAAATGGGTATATAAAACACATGAGTGATGCTGATAATGGGAAATTTTTCTTAAGTCGAATATTAATTGACCCTGAATGGAGAAGCAATTCAAGTAGCTACAACTTTCTGTACAAATCTGTAGACACCAATGACACCTACAACTTGAATTTGGTAAAAGTAGAGAATTCACTCCTTGTGCAAATTATCAACACTGCGCAGCCGTCTGTAGTTCACTCAGTAACAATTGACGTGGACGAATATGTAAAGAAGTGCCCTGCTGAAGAAGATGCAACGGATGACATGGAGGAGCGCGTGCAAATGGAAAACCTGGAGCAGGTATTCCATATTCATATATTAAGCCACATGAAAACAGGGAGCAGCAACAACATCCGTAGTGGTAACAGTAGTAGTAAGGAGAAAGGGCCAAAGGGACTCATCATAGAATCCAACGCAAATGAGCACTTTAGAAATGTTTTCCACACCAACTCGAACCCATACCTCTTACCAAACTTTAATGACAACCATTTTGATGATAAAAATCCGAACCTTGGACGAAATCTAATTCCGGATCTTAGAAATAATGTCCCCATTTTAAAACCAGATGGATTGCTAGTCGGCCCGGACAATAAATTTTTTAACCCGAAAAATTTGCGCTATGACCCAATTGGGCCCTTTGGAAATGAGCCCAATGCCGACAACAAACCGTTTGAGTTTCGGGACAATTTCCCCTTTTAGGGATATCAAGCTGGAAAAACGCGCTGTGCCAAAATGTGCGAACAGATATGTATGTAAGTGAAATAATTTTGGTGGAATCTTGTCTCTAAATATGCCAGCACTATTGTAATGTCCTTCTTTTTTCTTTTTTTCTTTTGTTTTTTTTGTTTTACCGCCTTTATGCTAGTTTATATGTGCTGGCCCACTGGACGAGAGCAGACGTAACCCCGCGTGAGATGCACCCTATTCGACATTGAAGTACGCCTAATGAGTAGGCGCTTTTCTGTAGTATCCCCCGATGCTCCATTGAAAGGAGTCCTTTTGCTTCTTCCAGGCGGGACATACACACCGCATGGCGTTTCCCTTTTTGTGCCATTTGAGCTTTAGCTCGTAAGGACATACTGGACAACACACATAGCCGTCGCAACTATGTCGTGTTAAGCTAAGTTGGGACAGACTCCCCACCACGGTGAGCTAAGCTGCGGAACACATTGTACTATATATATATACGTATATAATGTGCAAATAATATGTAGATTTTTTTTTTTTTTCCAAACCGGGGGACGTAATTTCACCGTTGCGGCGACCATCGTCACCATGACGCTTTACAAAGTGACAATCATTTCGACTGCTGTCTTATTTCCCGCGATGGGAGGTATGTCAAGAGATTTGCAAAAGAGTCTCCTTGGAGGAGAAAACAAAAAAGAAGGTAAAAACAAATGTGTAGGAGAGTTAATTCGCAAACGGTCTGTTATTGGCTAATGAACGGTCAATTAATGACCATTGGACGGTCAATTAATGGCCAATTAGCGGCCACTTGTGCAAGGGTGCTTTCCAAATGTGATACAAATGTTATGGACAGCTTTGCCACGGGGGAATTATTTCCGCCCCAACGAACGAAACACGCACCTGCATATTACCATTCGTTTTGCAGAGGGGCGAAACTGCCCCCGTGCGTGCCGAAGCTTCCAACTCGTTACACCTACTGCTTAAACAAAATTTGTCGCGAAAAATTGGGCAAAATACTTTGCACGACGAACACGAGCTCTTTGTTCGCCTTGCAGTAGTTATACAGCATATCGATAAAATAATTGCTGTTTTTCAAATTTTCACTGATTTCCATCGTTGTGGGGGTTGTGCTAGGCTGTCCTTCACCAATGTTCGAAGCTGTTTCATCGCCTTTTTTGGTAATACTGGTGGAGAGGTCGACGTACGAAGCTTCTTTTCTTAACGCGGCGGATGGCAGTAAAGAAGTGCCCCTTCGTTTTAATTCCTCCTGGTTGTAATTTAGTGTTTTCACTTCCTCATTATTTGCGCTTATACTCATTCGTTCCACACTTCCCGGATCATCTTCAGCATCTATCACTTTGATTAATTCTATGGGTTCGTTTTTAACGCCAATGTTTGTACCATTTCGCGGGGCGCTCGTGTGTTCGCTGATCTGGGCTGCTTTCCCCACGTGATGGCAGACCTTCATTAGGTGATCTATGCAATTGGTTGGTTCGGTTAGCGGTTCGGTTAGTGGTCCCTCCGCCGGGGCATCTCCCCCCCTCAGTCGCTCCCTCCCAACGTCAAACTCGTCGCCAATCCCAAAATGATCATCGTCATTGTACAGCTGCTGGAAAAAGCTCAATATTTCCCTCTCCTCAGAGTTCTTATCTACCTTCCCCGAGGGGTCGGCAAATCCATATTTATTCTCACTAATATTGATTTCATTTTGCCCTTCACAGTTTCCATCTGCGTCCTGTTCCGGCTGTCTCAATCCAACAGAGTAAAGAAAGCTTTTCAAATCGAAGGAGGGATTTTCATTCTCACTAGTTAGAACGAAATTGTAATCGATTATGTTTTTGTTATACAAAGAATTTTCTATTTTTTTATTAATCACCTCAACCTTCTCATCGAACAGGTCTTCTTCCGTTACTTTCTCGGTCAAAATTTTCATCTTGGTTTTAAATTTCTTGTACTTTATTTTGATTACTTTGTTTCTCATTTTGTAGTGCTTAATAATCTTACCCCAGGCGTCGCATTTTTTCAAGAAGCTGCAGTTTCCGAAAAGGAACAGATTGTACTTGGCTCGGGTTAGTGCCACGTTTAGTCGTTTATAACTCGAGAAAAACATGTTCGAGTCGTCCACTTCGTCGTCCACATGGTCCTCCGCGGAGGATGCGGAGCTTATGTTAGGCAGCTTTTCTTCCTGGTTCATCACATTCTCTTCCTGTTTCGGCATGTTTTCTCCCCGTTTCGTTACGTTCTCTTCCCGTTTCATCACGTGACTAGCGGCAGCGTTGGCATTTTTCCTTTTCTTCCTCTTGAGCGAACCCTTCGTCCGAACGCACACAAATATGATGATGTCCTTTTCCGTCCCCTGAAAACCATCCACCGTCCCAATGTCAATAAAATTAGAAATATTACTCTTGTAGCCCTTTCTTGTGAAGAACATTTTTAGCTCCTTCTTTAGAAAAAACTTCTCCGTGGCGTACGGGGTGATGATACCTATTCGTTTGTACCACTCCTTCACATTCTCTGCGGTAAAGATGAAATGCAAAAACTCGATAAACTGCAATACGGCTTCGCTTTCTTCAATGTTGATATAAGAGTTTTTTATTTTCCTTTGTTTCGAAAAGGATATGTCGTAAAAAACGCTATGTCTAAGGAAGGGGATGATAAACCAATCAATTGCCCCTTGGTTTTTCTTACATAAATTTATGTCGTGAAAGTTTGAGGGCAATAAATTTCCAAAGTTACTCTCCATAAAGTGAAATAAATCGAATTTGTAAAAAAGGTCACGTTGCATAATTCGTCCCGTGTGTGGATCCCCTGGATCACTCCTCAACTTTGTGATGTACTTATTCATCTGCATCTCTTTAAAAAGGGTAAATAGAAAATAAGGGGCATCGGTAATTTTATTCCTGTAGTAGTACTTATTTGGGAAGTGTGAAATGTCTGGGTGCATCCTATACTGAATGGACAACAAATTATATTTGCTCTTATTCATCTTATGCTTCTTTTGTAATCGTTCGAAGAGAGACCTGGCATACTTGCGCCGCTTTGCAAATAGAGAGAACACCGTCGCGGACAGCTGCTTTGGATCTCCTACCAGAATAATTTTCTTGCAAGAGAAGGACAGAGGTATCAAAATGTCCAATTCGACCGACTGAGACGCTTCATCAATTATAATTGCATCGAACGAGTCAATGTAGTTAACTAGGGACGCGTTCGAACTGGCAGAAAGGGTTGAACAAATAATTGTGGACGTTTTCAATAAGTTCTTTTTTATAATTTTATTTTCTTCCTCCTTATTAAGAAATAAAAATAACTGTTCTTTAAATTCGAGGCTAAATTCTAATATGTCTGTGCTTACATTTTTCCCTATTCTTGTCACTATAGGATTAAAAAAGTTTCCATTTTCGTCTAAAATTCCGCTACTTGACGATATTAGCCTTCTCAAAATTTCATCAATAGCTGCGTTAGATGGCGCACACACGAGTATCCTTTTGTTCTTAATTAAGTTTAGCTTGTTTATCTTTTCTTTTTTGAAAGTGGCTTGTTGTGTCTCTTCCGACGGGTTCTTCCTTTTCCACTTTCTTTTTTCTCTAACGGGGACGAGGTTGGAACTGCTGCTTATTAATTCGTTTTTCGCCCCTTTGAGTGATACATCCCCCGATGTGCTGGCCGCAAAGGAGTATGCATTGGAATCACTGACGTAGTAGGAATAGTTCAGCTTCTCATTGGCATTCCTTTCCTCCACCCAGTGGGACTTCTTTGTCATATAATCGCTGGTATTCACATAGGAGTTATAATACGACTCCGTTAAACCAATCAAATTTTTGATTCTGTTTTCATTATTTTTAAGGATGTCCTCCTCGCCTGAATTATTTCCATCCACATGGGTGTCATCACTTTTTAACATCCTACTAGACGCATTCATAATGCTCAGATGAATTGCATACGCATAATTGTTTTCATTTTTGTTTCCTTTACTGACGTGGAAGACGTTTTGGTTTTTTTCTTCTTTGTTTTTTTCAATGTGATCAAAAAAGTCCTCGTATTCTATTGCATCGAAGCAGTTGTCGTTAAAGTAGCAGTGGTCATTTTTTTTGTTGTAATTGATCCAAACGTACGGGCTCTTCTTCTTTTTCTTTCCCCTTTCTTCTTCTCCTTCGTCTTGTCCCTCCCATTGTACCTCCTCTTGTCCTTCCTCTTCTCCTTCCTCTTCTCCGTCCTCTTCTCCTTCTTCGTCTCCCTCCGCATTGGCAGATAAGAAATTCTCACTTAGGGGGCTCCTAGTACTACGATTCATTTCACCCTTTTGAAAAAAAATGAGTGCACTGATAATTCCCAAAATTGTCGTAGTTTTTCCTGTCCCGGGGGGACCTTGAATGAGCGTAATCCCGTCATTCACTATGCTGTTGTTAATGGCCCTTAATTGGTACTTATTGTAAATGTTCAGGAATTTATTTTTTAGCGCCTCTGGTATGTAATGGAAGCCTCCATATTGCTGCTCCCCATGGAGGGGGGGTTCCCCTCCAACTGAATTGTTATTCTTCTTCGCATTGTTCTTCTGTACAACAGTGTGTTGACCTAATGAGGACTTCTCCCCTTTGACATTCGCTTGGATATTTTTCGTCATCCTACATTTCCTGCTCGGATTTTGACTATCATCCTCATTAAAAGTGGGTTCCCCCCCTTCCACACCGACGTGTTCCGTGCCTCCTGACCATTTGAACTTCATCAAATAGTCCTTAATTTTTTGCTTAAGGGTTTCCTCCTCCAGATCGTCTGATTGATTTGGATGCCCATTCAATGCTTCATCTGGGATGGCTTCTCCAGGGTGGATTTCCTCTTGTTCACCATCTGGTACTTTGTCTGACTTAACCTGGTCAACGTGTCCAACATCTATGTGTCTTTTTTTTCTCTTCTTGGTCTGAAGAGGGGTGAAGTCCCCCTGGTGGCTGGTGTTGTCGTCCTGTTTAACCTCCCCCGTAGAAGTGACGCTCTCGGCATGTTGGTTAGCTTCCCCACTTTGGTCAACTTCGACAATTTCATTCAACAAGGCGGAGTTCCTAAAATTGAACAAGCAGTTAAACAATCGAAGGGTCGAAATTAAACTGGTCACCTTGGATACACGCGCAAAGTAATGATCTAATTTATCAGCCACGAAAATTTCGTAAATGATATCTTTCCTGATTTTGTCAATGATATCAAAATTTTTATAATTTAAATTAAATTTGACTTTAATTTGTTCCTTATTTTTTGAAATCACGTAACCTAACAGATGACGGACGCAATATTTTCTGATCATGTAAATGTCGTCATTCGTCTCGTCATTCGCTTCGTCATTCGCTTCGTCATTCGTTTTGTCATTCGTTTCGTCTTTGATTTCGTCATTCGTTTTGTCTTTCCCCGAGTTGGTGATATCAATTGGGTTTGTGTTTTCGACGAGTTCCTCCTCGGTCACTTCTTCCTCTTTCAGTTCCTCCCCATTGAGTGGGCCTTCCGAATGGGTGCACGAGCCAGAGGAAGCTACCTCGAGTTTGTCCTTTTCCGAATCACTAGATATTACCTCTTCCTCATTCGTCTTTACGGAACAAAACATAGGGGTGTAAATATTATGTGAGTCACTTTTTGCAGTTCTTTTGGGAATAAACCTCAGCAAAATAAGATCTCCATAAAAAAGGTTTGCATAGACGAGGCTGTCATAAGCTATGTTTATGTTGAATTCAAAGTTGTAAATCTCCTTGGGGGTGTTAACCAGCGTCACGTCGTACTCTTTTATATTTTCATTTTCCTTTTTATTGTTTATTAATTGCTGCGTTTCGATCAGGAATAGGGGGAAGTAGGAATAAAAATATTCCTCAAAATTTCTGTATACATCTGGCAGGGGGTAAATATCTACATTTATTTTTAGGCGATTTTTTACACCATTGGAATCAAGCTCTTTTTCGCTCCTCAAGCATGTGTAATAATTCCACCTCAAAATTATATTAACCAGATAATCAGAAACATCTGTGTATTTCTTCTCTATAATGAATGAGTTTAGTATCAACAGGATGTTGTCATTTGTCTGCTTCTCCACGTCTTCTTCATTTAGGTTGAAACAACTCGAATTGCTAATTTCTTTCTTTATGCCTTCCTCTAGCTCCTTAAATTCATTATCCTTTGCATATTTGGCAAATATCTTCCAGTCGAAAAAAATCTTCACAAAGTGCTCATCGTCCCACTCTTCCCACATTTTAATGCGATGGGGAAAGTGCCCCTGGGGGTTCCCCTCTCGACAGGAGGTACCCCTTGGTAGAGTGTCCCCCTTGACGGATTGTCCCGCTTGACTGATTACCCCGTTTGACGTACTGTACCTTTCGCTAACTTTTACTGTGATAACATGTGCATCTACATAATTTAGAACCCCACCCCCTACAATTTCTCTTCCTTTCGCTTAACATGTCACTCCTCATTTCGTTTGCCCCTTTCGAGATTCCGCTTTTTTCTCCCTTTGGATGGTTACATTAATCTTTTTTTTTTTTAAAATAAATGTGAAAAAAAAATGTTGAAGGTAGGAAATAATGAAAACATGCACGGAGAAGAAACCTGCGCCTTGAATAGTTCCTGTTAAAATGCATCGGTTTCGATCCTACCTCCTTTTTTGTTCTCCTCTCTCATCATTTGTTTTGCTTCCTTCTTTTTTTTTTTTTTTTAATTTTCATCGCAACATTTTCAGATACCTTACATACGCATTAAGAAGCGTTCCTGGAATGCTACTTGACCCAAAAGAAAATAAAAAAAAAAAAATTACCATTCTTTTATGCGTTCACGTAGGGGAGAGGGTAGGGCGTTTCTACAGAATCATCATTTTTAAATGTGACATGTAGGTAGGGGTGGGCCCTTTTTTTTTGAGAGAAATCTTTCATTCTTATGCACATATCATCCCATTGTAATGTGTTTTTTTTTTTTTTTATCTGAGTGGAATGCGGCTATGTGCCATGTGTCATGTGCTACACCTTCCCATGAATTCACGGCAACGTTCGAAATCTGTTTCTAAGCATTTTCTTTCCAGTCATGTTCGTCTCAAGGTCGCTCTTCACTCAGGAGAACACACGTGTAGTTTTTTAATAGGGTTGCGGATATAACCTGGTTATTCTTCATCAGAAATGGCTCGTTAGCGATTTTGCATTTATGCAATTTTGCTCCCATACCGCGCTTCCGTTTCACCCGTTTTCCACTTTGTCATTCCCGCCACGTGCCCTGCAGGATGGGTGATCCGAACTGCTGCTAATGATGCTAATGCTGCTAAACGTGTACTGACCCTCCAAGGGGGTTCTACAGCAGAACCGGCTCATTGGCATCGTTGGTGGGAGGTGCAATGTGCTCAATGGGTGTGATGGACAGATTTGCTCACATATGTATGCGTAAGTGGATATATATGCTATCGCTAATACAACGTGCTATTTCTTTCCTTTCCAATCAGCCTCTTTGCAAAAATTTGCACGCAACGACTACCACGTTGTGGTTCTATTACATGTCTAAGGTTTGCTACATGATAGGACTAATGCATAGGGCGTCATACATGTCCTATTTTAATTTTCCCCCTGTTTTTCCATTGCGCATTTTTATGAACAAATTTTTAAATTATTCAAAAAAAAAAAAAAAAAAGGAAGTTCGCTTCATTTTACTTCTTATCATTAAGGTGATACAGAATCTTAACTCTTTACATGCAAAGCAGATTGTCGAATAATTGGCACCTAAACAAAATGAATGGCTACAATGCGCGATTTCTAATGCCTTCGCGTTCGTGCCATGAAATTATACTTTTTTCTTTTTTTTTCCCCATCGCTTTGTCATCGTTTGCCTTTTTTCGTGTACTTCTTAAGAAGAACTTTGAAGAATCACCACACGGGCAGTTTCTTCCTCCTCCCCTGTGGAGGAAGGAAAATCACAACGTTTAAGCAGAAGGTACAGCATTATACTTTCGGAACGGTTTGTTTGACTGGTTTTAATAGATCGAGGGGGGAGAAAGAAAGAGCTGGTTTTCCTGACCTCATAACTCAACCCAGCAGAACCGAAATATAAATCGGCAGCGCGATCATTTTAATGTTATTGAACATGCCTTTTTTTATAAGACAAAACGCGGAGGCGTACCCAAAATAAGGGTCTCTAACAACGTAAAGGGAAACATCAAAAAAAAAAAAAACGTTTATGTATACTTTTCGAAACGTGTAGATATTTATATAATTACTTCATAGCATGAATACATCTGTACGAATACATAATATGCAGACTTATGAGTGATGCCCCTCAATCTTAGCCTTTTTGGGGAAGTTTATTAAAAATAGAAAGAGGGGTAACAATCGCGCACGCATATAGCAGCATGCACAGCGTGAATTGTCACGACAGATGGTGACTGTATATTAGGCGAATAAATGATTACAATGAAGTTTTTCACTTTGCTTTATTTTTTTTTTTTCTTTTCTTCTTGTTCTACCATGGGATATGGGCCAACTTGACATACCCACGGGCTAGGTTAAGGCAGTTAATTGACCGGAAACTGTTCACTATCAGTAGGGAAAAAAAAAAAACAGCAAATAAAAACAGCAATAAAATCAGCAAATGAACAGCGGGCGGTTAATAAGGAATAATAAATACTAAAAAAATGCAACAGGAAGAAAAAGGTGCTAAAGGAGAGAAAAAATCTAAATCCTTTTTACAAAGAAGGCGCAGCAGAACAGTATATGTTTTTAATATTATATAATTATTTGCAGTCGCGTTTTATTTACATTAGTGAGGTCAATTTTTTCGCAGCAAAATTTAGGGGTTATCGCCCAGAGGGGGCATAAAAAATAAACGGTGAACCGTACGTGTTGTCAACAAAGAGACTTATAAATATATGTATGCATCTATGCATGTATGTACAAAACAGTTGCGTGATTTGGGGGCCAACGAGGGGTTAATTCAAATGCTCATTTGTAGGCACATACTCGCTCATGGACGCAAGAATCGAAATTAAAATAGGGGTCAAATAAGACAAAAAAATGCATTGCCTCTCCCCTCCCCCCAAACGTTTTCCTGACAGGAAGAAACAAACCTGGATATAATAGAAGAAACCAAATGATAACAGAGACACTACGCACATATCAGGATCAGCCTTACAGTGCGGTACAGGTAAAATCTGTTACTTAGCGCCGATACTGAAATAAAATGAAACAATAAAGAAAAACTTAGATCTTGTAAGAATAACAAAATGGCGACATAAGACCGTTCCGGCAATGCAGTAGCACGAAAATCACCGATGGAATAAATTCCAGTGCCCCTCTCTTCTTCTTAGATAGCGCTCATCAAACATAGTAGCAGCATATATAACATAACATATATGTATAGGGTCTCCACCACCACCACAGGTATATATAGGACATACAACGCTTATATGTCGCTATATGTGGAGCTACCCATGGGACGCTGCAATATTATTATGCTTATTTGTTTTTATATGCATACCTCCTATCGCGGCGCATGCTACTTGCTTTCCCCCCCTTCGCGCAACCCGGAGTTAAAAGGAAAGAAGAACAAACTGCTAGCCCGCCAACAAATTCATTCTGCATATTCTGAGAGTGAGCGATGATAGAATTTAAAACCCCAAAGCTGAAGCGTAAAAATACTTACTACAACGACATTATTAGATAAACATGAACAATTAGAGTATGCCAAATAAAATAGTTCTACCACCAGATCAAATACTTTTCATTTTATGGCAAAGAAATACTTAGGCCCCCCATCTATCAGCTGTTTCTTTACCCGCCATATGAACTTTTCTAGCTTCGAAAAAAAAGAATTGCATTATTCTAAAAAAAATATTCACATGAAATGAATGGATTGAGATTACCGACTTATCAGCTTTTTTTGTAACTCCCCTATGCTATGAATATACATATCACGGAGATATCTCTCTTTCGAATGCTTAAATGACAAAAAAAAAAAAATTAAATACAATTTTTTTTTAAGCTAAAATATATTTTATATGCCTAAAAAATATTTATACATAACTGTATGCAAAAATAATATTTGCGTGCAAGTATACGCGCGTAAGCAAAAAAATATATCAAAAAGATTAGGTCGCTTTTAAGAAAAAAAAAGAAAAAAAAAATTTTTTGTTTTTCCAAAAAATAGTACATCGAAAAAGTATAAAAAGCATATATATGTAATATATTATATTACGTAGGCATACCTCGCGAAGAAGCATTTATCTCATTTTAATTGCGTTTAAATAGCATTCCTTAGTGGCATCGAAAAAGTACAAAAATAAAAGATTACGCAAGAATTGCAGAAATTGCGAAACACTACAAGTCAATAAGCTTTACTCGAACATCATTACCATTAGAAGCCACCCTTTGGGGGGATATTTCTAACCTCACGTGGGAACTGCTACGCATACCATTTAGTTTAGCGTTAATACCAGTGGCGCAAACGCAGAGCGTGAAGCCGCTAAGCATATATACAACATACCATAAACATACGCAAAACAGGAGGTGCTGCGCCTACGCGCTCCATAATCCCCTTTTTCCCAACAGTAGCCATATTTTAAAAAAATCCCCTCCCCCCTCTCAGCAAACAAATCGCAGACAGAATGAAGCTGAAATTAAACTTCGCGAAAAAGAAAAGAGGGTTTGACCTCTCCATAATCGAAGGTTGCAAATCCCTCTTTGGGAAACTATTCGGAAGCGGTGTTGACAAATATTTTAAAATAGTTAACCTTGCAATAATTACAATATTCGTCACAGTTTTGAATTATATATACGCCTTTGATACAAAATATGGAAAGAGGAAGAACAAAAACTTGCTCTACATGTACTACGGATTTTTAGTATGTCTGGTGGGGTTCGCCATCAGCATTAACTGGTAAGGCCGGCCGCACGAGCGATTAGCGTGTGTGCAGAAAAAAAAAATGCCTCTCTCCGTATACACGTGCCTATGTACGCATGTGAATATAGGATCATGCACATGTATACACATCCACGTATGCACATATATCGCCCCGCGCGCCGCACATAGCCGCTGTTATAAGTAGCCCTCTAACATGGGTACCTATATTGTGCCCCCACATATACATATGTCTCTGTACCTTCCCCCTTCTGTGGAACACAAATTCACACCGTGCTCTTCCCTCATCGTTTGAAATTTCTACAGGATATACTTTGAGTATGTCAAGAATAAGAAGAAGAAAGGCTCCCCCTTGGAAGTTAAAAGTAAGATATGATTGATGATGGATGCGCTGTTGTGGACAATTTATTATTTCACCCTTTTTTGCAACGGTTGCTTTTGGGTATCATTGTGCATGTTCTGTCTGCGCCCCATTTGAGCGTGCTCTCTTGATCATTCTGCCCATACATTGCGCCTGCA